GACCATCCTGTAGCCTAGAGCCCACTGAAATGATCCAAATAGCCAACGCTAAACTGCTCAGCTGCTTACTCTGCCTCACCCTTTCCTTCCCATGAAAAAACTACAATACAAGCTTTTGCCACTGATGCTTTCCCTTCACCCCTCCTACCTCCTGGTCAGCCCTGCTTTCTTGTGTGGCCCTGTGTGGCATGGAGTACCCTCCCTCCTCTTGGGAATTTGAAGTAATAACCTTTTCTTTCAAAGGTAGTTGTGTTGTCTCTGTCTTCTTACCATACCTGATTCAATCAAACCTGGGCACATCTTAAAACACTGGAAAAGAAGATATTTGAGCAGCATCACATTGTGTCTGTCGTATGCCAAAGGCTTTTTCTCTTATGATGAACTGGATTTCCCAAGACAGACACTTGTTTTTTTACTGTCTTCTGCCTCAAGAAAGTTTCTTGTAGAATTATCCATCAATGCCCTCCCTGACCCATCATTGTTATAATGAAGACTTAATCCTGGTATTATAGAAAGGCCACTGACCATCAGGCCCAAAGTCCCTTTCATCATTTAGTCTAGAGAACATAGGAACTATCACAAGTAAGGCTCACCATGGCCTTCTAGAAATTTCTAGTTCTTCTAGAATCTTGGAGGTGAATACGTAGATTAAGATTGTAACAAGACTCTAACTTCTTTTTTTTCTTTTTTTAAGAAATTTTATTGGGGAACAGTGTGTTTTTCCAGGACCCATCAGCTTCAAGTCAAGCAGTTGTCCCCAATCTAGTTTTGGAGGGTGCAGCTCCTTGGCCCATGTGGGAATCAAACCGGCAACCTTGGTGCTATGAGCCTGTGCTCCAACCACCTGAGCTAACCGGCTGCCCCTAGCTTCATTCTTATATTTGGGAGAAAGCTCAAAATACCTGTATAGTTTGTAGTTACTCTACCAAGTCCCTAAACAATTGTGGAATGTCAGAGTGATAAAGCACACTAGGAATTATGTAGTGTAGATATTTCCTCTTTCATTCTTTTCATCATTCGCTGCTTCTTCTTCCAAATCTCTTCCCCTCGAATGAATCCCTTCCAGCATTTCCGACATTTGATTATCCCACTGCATCTCTGTGGATGCTAATTGTTGTGTGTTCTAGTGCAGGAGTCTATAAACTAGCTTGTAGGACCAATCCAGTTGGCTGCCTGTTTTTGTAAATAAAGTTTCCATAAAACTTTATTTGCAGGCATACTCATTCGTTTAGGTATGGTCTATGACTGCTTTCACACTACAGTGGCAGAATTGAAGAGTTGCAATGGTGGGCATATGGTCTGCAAAACCTAAACTATTTATGAGCTGGCCCTTTATAGAAAGAGTTTGTCAATCCCTATTTTAGCAGATAAAATGTGCTGCTAGTCTTGAATATTACAAGTTCTTCAGGGACGAATCTCAAGTACTTCCTCTTTAACTATGTCAGCTCCATCAAGCTCTTCATCAAACCATGCCCGTTAAGGTCCTAATCATTTCATTAACTCTGTATTATACTGTTGGTAGACCGTTGTCCATGAGTCTCTCATGTTTCTACATGTACAGGCATGAACGGCCAACTTACTTCAGTACTATCTTTTCAGGGATGTTAACATAAGCATAGACAGTGACTCCTTCTAGAGCAAATTTATTTATCTTCCTGGATAGTAAAGATAGAGGTGTTCCCCCCTCCCAGAGGGGAGGGTGGGCAGGTTTGCTAGCCACCCCATGTAAGATCAGAGTCTCCTAATCTCAGGGCTCCTCCCTTGAATGCACCCCACTCTGTGCACAGGCGATGCCCGGCCCTCACTGCATCATCCTATTGGAATTGGGGCTCAGGGGACCTGCACCGAACAAGCTGTTCTTATTGCCAGAAGTCATAAGCTGTCTAAGTATACCTGGGCTCATCATGTCCTTACTGGCCAAACCCATCCTCTGCTCCTGGGCTGCTGCTTAGAAAGTGCTGGAGCGCTTGACAGTGGCTTGAGGCAGGTGTTAGCACGTTTGTTCCGTCTCCCAGAGTACATTGGGAGTTCCTTGAGGGCGGACCCAGCTCTCCTCTTCCCTTTCCTCCTCCGGCGACCTCAACATCCAGCAAGCAGTCAGTAATATTTCGTTGCTTGAGATGAAGGCACCCGCACATCCTGTCCTGAAAAGCTCTTCTCAGTGGCACTCAGAGACTTGGGACTATTTTAAATGGTCATGACTTCCTTCTACCCAAGTGCCCCTGAGGCTCTGGGGTTTGAAGCCACCCTGCTCTTGTTAAAAAGCAGAGGCAAGTTCCAGCCCAGCAGCGTCCACTCAGAAAACAGGCCCCTGGATGTGGTGGTGGGGCCTAAGAAAATGGCCCCGCCAATCCTGTTGGCCAGAGGGTGTGGGACACACTCTAGGGTCCCCAGGCTGGGGGCAGAGTTAGCAAGAGGGGCCCCTCCCTCCTGAGTGCTTGCTGGGGGTAGCAATCTGCATCCATAATAAAATGAATGCACTTTAAGGACTTTTTTCTCCTAGGTTTGCCAGATTTAGCATATGAAAATACGGGACACCCAGTTCAATCTGAATTTCAGGTAAACAAGAAATACTTTTGAAGTATAACTATGTTCCAAATTTTGCACAAGATACACTAAAAATTTTTTTGTTGCTGTTATGTATCTGAAATTCAGATCGAACTGGGTTCCCTGTATTGTGTGGAACAGCCCTGTTCTCAGCCCACTCCCCGGGGGGGCCCCATTCTCCAGCTGAGCCTCCCTGCGGGGAGTGGCCTCTTCTCTAAAACGGCCCTGGTGATAACGGTCTTTCTGACGCTTCTCTGTCTACAGCGCACCTTTCCTGGGTTCATAGGTGCAGAGCTGGATGTTCAAAGGGTGGACACAGACTTTCAGGAGAACTTCCTTGAGTTTTGCTGATGGATCCAGACCTTCTGTCACTGTTTGCAGGAAGCAGGACCTAGGGTATATGGTGGGCTCACCTTTTGAATGATCTGGGAGCATTTGAATGTATTGGGTGCTTAATTTTCTGTTTAATTGCCTTTTATTTTTCAAATCTGTAATTCTCAGGATCATCTGTCAAGTCAGACCTAAAATTCAAGAACTGCATATCTCCTGTATATCAGTGAATGTTGAATTGGAACCCAGGAAGAGGCAGAGAGATTGGAAAATTCGATGACCTCCAGGCCCCAGCTTTGATCCTGATCAGGTGCTTTTCCCACCGGCCCCTTTGGAGCAGGTGTGCAGAGTACATCTTGTCTGTCTCCAGGCTGATCAGAAACTAGTCCAGCGATTTCCTTTGCTCTCACCATAAGCAAGGCTTCCGTGGGGTTTAGCTCTGAGCTGCTGGGGAAAGCGGCCTATCATGATAATTCACATTCCCCACAGATGGCCCTGAAATGGTGACCCCTGCTCAGGCACTCCAGAGAGATTTGCAGGAGATATAAATGCCTCGCCGGTGATTTGGTTGGTAACTCCCTGTCAGGGCCAGGGGCAGAGATTTAAATATGACTTATCATCCTGACCTGGTGGGATTTACAGGATAAGCCCCTTCTGTGATCACAGGGAAATTTACGCAGTCCCTTCATCACACCAGGCTGTGTGATACTCAGCACTGGGGACCATGCCACACTGCCGTCCGTCAGCCAGCCCCGGTCATGGGTCGTGGCTGGCCAGCTCCAGCATCCTGCCTGCACAGCTGCTTGTCTGGCTCCTGCCCCCACCGCCCTCCACCTCCATCCCCAAAGGACAGAAGACTGGAGTTCTCAGCCCGCCTTGGTCCGAGGGCACGCCCTTTCAGCTCCCCTCTGCTCCCCCCACTTCCTGCTTCTCCATCACAATGTACCCATGGACACCTCCGTCACCTTCTTTCCTGCCTTCCTCCCTCTTGCAGAAAGACCCGCTCTCTTCTTCAGGTGACTTTATCTGCTCCTTTGTTTTCTGTGGCCCCTTTCTCACCAGTGTGCTTAGCTCTGGATTTGAGAATCTAATGGTCAGCCAAGCACCCCTGGCAGAATCCCGTGGGGAGAGTGTTAAAAATCAGAACCCTGGTTGCACTGTGGACCTCCTGAGTCAGAATCTCTGGTTCCAGGGCCCAGAAATCAAATTTTCTGGATAATTCTTAAGTACACTAAAGTTTGGGAACTAAGACTCTAGGTCTCAGAATGGAGCCTGGACTGGGCCTCCCCCCTTGCTGAATTTCAGGCAGTCGGTTTCGCTCTCCTTTCAGCAGAGTTGATCTCTAGTGTGTCTTTGAGGGCTTTTGGGAAGGAGGGGCAAATATCTGGGACCGGATGGGTACAGAATTGTCCCAAGAAGGAGGACTTGGCCTGAGAACAATCTGGCTCATGAATATTCATGCTGGCCCTGCTGTCAGTTTTGATCGCTCAGATCAATTCAAGGCATTCTCTATAAGCCTCTGTGAGAGCAGGAAACAGGCTCCAGGAATAAGAAGGTAGGGAAGAAGATAGACGTTAAAATGACTTGACAGGCAATAGGATTAGAACCCTTGCTCAGTCCTGATCTTGCGAGTAAGTAACAGTAGCCTGAGATTAAAGAATTAAACCCTGCCGCTCTCCCTTGACAACTGATCTGATAGGCCCAGAAGGAAATTTCAGGATCACTGTTGTCAGGCAGGGGAGAGGGGAGATAAGGGGCGCTGGGAGGGAGGGTGCTGAGAGGTGAGGGCCTGTTTCTTTCTCTGCAACCCAGTGCCGGAGGCTCGCTCCCTCTTCTCGGGGCAGCACCATGTGCTGAAATAGTGCTGGGGCACACGAGCTGCCAGGACTTTTTTTCACCTCCACTGGCACTTTCTTTCTTATATCCAATTATAACTTTAAAATGGAAGCAAAAATGAAAAGGGGGGGAAGATAATGAAACATAAGTCAAAAGTGGCAGCTGGTGAATTTCTGATAATTGTATTTTCCCTTGTAGTGTTTCATTTCTGTTCCCTCATGTTGCACAGTAGCCTGTGGGGAGAAAGATCCCCCAACAACAAAAAACAACTTGGAAGGGTTCAAGGAAACAATATCAAATGCAATTTAATGACATTTTTTCATGGGAGACAGGGTAGAGATAGAGTTGCACTCTCAGTTTGCTGCTGCTTCTTGTCTTTAGCATCATCAGAAAGCCTAGAAAATTGTACATACATCAGTTTACATCAAGTAGAATGATCCTCGATTACCTTTCTCATTCTTATCTCCATACCTCTAGAAAAAAGGTAAAAAAAAAAGGAGGGGAGGGGAATGTTTATAGTATACCACTCAAGGTAAAGTATTTTCATACATATTGGAAAAGACAAACGCTAACCCGTGTAGGTAACATATGTGATAACCTGATTTTGGGGGGGGGGAAATCAATGCTTATCTACAACAGTCCTCTTGCATCTCTCGTCAGAGAAGTTTTTCTTGGCTGACCCTTCTCCAGGTTAACACAACTGACAATGCACCAGTTCTTGAAGGAAATTTTCTGAACAAATCATCTGAAGGTCTAACAATCTACTAGAAGACCCTGCTCTTCCTTTGATGCTATTTGTAGCTGAACTTGAACCAGAGAATAATTCTTGGATGTCCAGTCCACAGTCCCTTCCCCTTCCACCAGAAATTGGACCCAAGTGGAAGCTACAGCAAGCCTCACCTCGTCCATACCTTTCATTGAAACCACTGGGATCAGAGTCACTGATTCACTGTTGACCTTGGAGTTTCTGCCTGCTTCAAGGCACTTAGCCTGCAGCTTCCTGTGGTTTTTATCCTAGCAGGAACCGTGCCCTTAATTTAGAAAGAGTATTGCTCTGGGTAGGCTCTGGACAAAGAACAGGGTCCTTGTTGGGTTGCAATGAAGTGTAATAGCCAGAGTAGGAGGGTAAGGCGCTGGGCTCTGTCCTTTAGGTGACGCATCTCTTGACTTATTCCCTTTCCCTGTCTCTCAGCTTTGGGCTATGGACGAGTCCTACTTCTGTGGTCACACATTTGAAGTGATGTTTCAAACCACTGCTCACTGTGCCCTTCTCAGATGTTGCATATTTCCAATCTCTAATTTCAAAGTAAAATACCTTTTCAGATTGGGTTTTTGTCTACATGTAGAAATAAGAAAGATGACCTATAAGAACAAGTAACAGGAGATTCTAGTTTGGGAGAGCTTGGTTTTCCTTTTTGGATTGGGCTGGCCGGTTTTGGGAAGTCATGCTCTATGAAAGTCACCCTTCTAAAGTTTCCACCCAGCTGTATGAATCCAAAGTGTCTAGATAGTGATGTGCTGGTCATGCTTTAACAATCAGCTCTCTGAGGGGAAAAGCCCTAGTTTATGCTATAAACTACCATGTTGCTATAAATACTACCATCATGGCCAATTTCAAGCTATCTCACTAAACGTGGACTTGGGAGATAGGCTGTAGGACATCATTCTATAGTATGTTCACCATGCAGATATGATAGATGGAAACAACCTGTAGAGTGCAGAAAATAAAAAAGTAGTGAAATAATTAGGAAGGGATGAGTTTTGAGTATTTATTACCTTTGTGTTTTAATATAAATAATTGTAAATTTATATAATTTAATTTCTAATCATGGCTGTGCTTAACAACTGGCTCACAAAATTCCTAAAAAAATTTTAACAACTGGTCTACAAGCCACCTCTAGCACAGCACTCTGTCTTGGGCTAGGGAAAGAGGGAGAAAAGGGAGAAATGAAAGAGCACATTTAGTACTAACATACTGAAGGCCTCTGTGCCATTCAGACTTTCTGACTGGTCCTTCTAAGCCTCGGGTCCACGGGTTCATTGAAATGACATGGTTGATATTGGTCAGAAGCCTGGACTTCGTAGCTAGACGTGCTGGGTTTCAGGCCCAGCTCTACCGTGTGCTAGCTGTGTGACCTTAAACAAGTGTCTAACCTCTCTTAGCTCAAGTGTCTCATGGGTACAATGATGTAGTTGCTTTATACGTTTGCTATGGGAATTCAATGAGGTACTATACACTAAATCGTTAGACTACTGGGTCACATAGTAAACCCTCAACAAATGGTAACTGTGAGTACTACTATTATTTTTATGAACCTGATCTATTTCTAAAATGTCCACAGTAACCGCAGGTAATGATGGGATCTATCTCAGATGTAAGATCACACAGAGTCTGATTCTTGAAGACAACCTTCTTTGTATGATCTGACCTTTACTTCTGCATCAACCATTTATGTAGTCAGCCTGAGGGGCAGAAATGTCCTCTCCATACCTCCTGAAAAAATCATTTTTACAGATACCCGAAGTTCAAATACTGGTATCTTAGTTTTTGCTATTAAGTGCTACTGTCTCTCTAGGCCTGCTTTTTAAATGCAGGTATTTAGAGGATGTCATTAAATCAACACCTGGGTGGGAACAAGGCAACCAGGTCCCAGGGCTCTGCACAGGATAACTCCTGGGAATCTCAGCATGAGCCAGGAGTGGGTGATGGACCAAGAAACGGGCCTGAGGGCTCCACATGTCCCCTGCTGAGAGACTGGCCAGTTCTTCAGGCTGAGGTGCCTCTTGAAGCAGATCTCTCTTCCTGTTGCCCCAAGTATCCTGGGACCAAGACCCAGCTGACCCTCAGGCCCACAGGCCACCAATGAGGTGGGGACGTTGCTGAATATTTTGAGTCAGTCTTCCTATTGCAAGAACACCAAGTTTGCAGTCAATTTATCAAGTTCTAGTTGTGGTTCCAACCCCATGATGTGTGACTTCAAGAAGATCATTTCATGTCTCTGAACCTCTATTTTTTTTTTTTTTAGGAAATTGAAGATTCTGATAGAGATTAACCTGAGACTCAAATGAAGGGGCCCTTTGTGACTATAAAGAATGGTGCCAACGTGCTTTGTTGGTACCATTCTCTATTCCTACTCATTGTTTTTGGTTGGCTCTTTTTTCTTCAATTCTTCACATATGGATATGGAGAGAAAGGCCTTCTTGGCAGCACCATAGATGGACAAAAATAACACATTTCTACCCTTTGTTCTAAATTTGGTTTGTAAGAACTAAACATAGTTCCTGTCTGGGATCACATATTCACAATACAGTGTGCAATAACAATAACCTTACTTTATTCCTGGTTTGGCTCAGGGAACTTGGCACAACAGGAAGGCCGAGGTGGTGTTTGTAGGAGTCCTAAGGCGTGTGAACACTAGTCACATTCCTACTGAGGTTTTGTTTGTTTATCTGGGGCACCTGTGATGCTACACACATGTTAGCATGGTGGTTGGGTACCAGAAACCAGGGGAGGAACTGTGGATCCCAGACATAGCAACTCGCAGCCAAGGAGGTCTTAGGTGCTAGCGAAGGGCCTGGGGACAAACGGAGGAACCAAGAGACTCAACAGCCTCAGCTCGCTCCTGACCATCCGTGTGGTTGGCGGGGGGCAGCCGGTGCCCGGGTAGAGTGTTCTGACAGTGCTAAGGGAAAGGAGGTGACAGCCTTTTCCTTGGGACTGCTGGCCTGATGTTTGCTCCATCAGTGACAATATTTACTGGCTCCCTAGAGCTCTAACAGAAGGAAGCCTGAGCCCGAGGGATGCAGCCATTACCATGTGACCAGAGGGAGCTCCATTATTAGATCTCCTGTCGAGTGGCACCACCCTGCTGGTGCTGGAGCTGTGGGTGGGCAGCCCGGGAGGCTAGAGGTTACCTGGCCATTAGAGAAGCGTGTTGTGTTTTAGGATCGATCGTTTTTGGTGGGGAAAAGGTTGCTGATGGGCAGTCAGGGCAAACTGCCTGAAACTAAGTACTCACTGGGAGGCCTGCCAGGACCCAGCAGAGGTGGACGGGGTGAAGAAATGAGGCAGAGAGAAACATTAGGTTGGCAAAAGGCCCACTCAGTTCTAATGAGTGTTGTGTGGGGTTTGGGCGCCTTGTCTCTGCAGTGACTGGAGAGTGGCCTAGGGGAGAACAAAAATGACAAGGAAGCAGAAGAGGGCCTACTGGGAAGGCCTACAGGTCTTCACCCTTGGACAGAGGAGACAAGGTTGACTCAACAAGCCTATCTTCAAATATGCAATAGACGTCCACAAGTAGATGTTTATGAATTGTTCTGACAAGCAAAGAGAAAGTTATCTGCACAGAGGCAGTGTGGACTTTCATTCAGCTTCCGACGGGTGCCGAATACATACTTTACCAGTGAGAATGTCTGTGTGCTAAATGGGGCCCTCTGAGCATTTCAGAAACTGAGGAACGGAAAGAGGACCCTCCCAGGTGTACGAGGGACTGGGCCAGCTCTCCAGGTCAGAGGCCCTGGGCACAGTCCCCACGTTGCTTGTGTTTGACGGTGAGCTGTGGTCCTGGTTGATGAGGTATCAAGAGCACAGTGGGTTCTTTGCATGGTACAACAGTGCTCCACACTAATGAGAGGACTGATGGATTTATAACACGATAATAAAACTCTCTGAGGAGCAAGTGCCCTCCCAGAGGGAGGCGAGTAGAGTAATGGCATCCTTTGTTTTTCAGCTGTTTCTCTTTCCCACACCTTGCCCATCCCTTTTTACTACCTGTTCAAGGGAGGGCAAAGTCATTTTCATGAAAGCACCAAAAACTTGAGGACTTTGATTGTAGAGCCAGAAAAGATGGCACAGGCTGAGAACAAGCCCGCGGCAGGCTGCCATAGAAGGTTCAACAGCTGCCACCCCTGAGCCCTGGGCTCGATCCACAGGACTCAGCATAGTGGTGCCTCCAGCCCGGTGCCCCGGCTTTCAGAGGAGGCGCCAACTCCTCACATCCAGCAGCTCAGCTCTGACCCTGAGGTTCCTGGGAAGGTGCCAGAGTTGTGTCTGTTTGGTCTGAAATCTATCTCTGAGCTGGCCAGGGCCCCCTCCCCAACCTGCCATTCTCACACCCTTCACAGTTAGCTTGCCCTGAAATGGGCTGAAAAGAGAAAGAAGAAACGGTTTGGACACTAACTCTCCTTTCAACCCCAACAGTCTGCTTCATGGTCTCAGTGACTTTTGTTCGTTTTGGAAGCCATGGAGAAGGGAATTGGGGGTAGTGGGGAATAACCATTCTGATTGAATTGGATTGAAAACGTTCTGTAAAACTATACCAACTAATCAGGACAAACATCACACCAAGACCTTGAATCACAGGATGCTTACATAATATAATATTATGCCCATGGTAGACAAATACTAAATACCTCTAAGTACCTGAGACGAAAAAAGAAAGGAGAGAAGGAATGAGGGAGGGAAGGAAGGAAGGAGAAGAATAAAAAGGGGCCTGGAGTCCTGGCATGTGGAGATCCTAGGGGCACAGGCAGAGTGTCTTGGTGGAGGCATGGCTGCGTGTGAACGTCCGGTGGCTTCTTGCTTCACATCTCAGCTTCTGAGGAGCAGACCTCCGTTGCTGTGATAGCGATTCCGATGGCAAGGCTGCCATTGTCGGAGAAGAGCTGGGCCAGCGAGGTGTTGAGGACGAGGCAGTCCCCGTCAGTGATCACCGAGTCCACACACTCAAGGACAGAACGGGGGGTGGCCTCCCATTTGAGGCGCCGATGGTTTCTGTTCAGCTCCAGGCGGTAGGTGAAGCAGTCGGCCTGGGTGGGGGTCCCAATCAGCATCATGGTGGCAAAGAACTGGGGGTGCCCTTCATGCCTCTCCTGTTTCCTAAGCACCAGCAGAAAGTGGTGGCCGAGGCAGGAGTGCATGATGATCCAATCAGCCGGGGCGGGGAGGTGCATGTCCGTGGCCAGGAAGACTATCTCGGCTCCCTGAAGGATGTCAACCCTGTGTGTTTGGCGCAGGTGGGGCACCACCACCTCCAGGTGGCCTTCCCATTGGCAGGAGAACAAGGGGCACAGGCAGGGGGTCACCTGGGCGGCGTGCAGCTCTGCCTCCTGGTGGTGCAGGTGGCGCGGGTGCGCATGGTGGCGCAGGTGGTGGTGGGGGCGGTGCTGACGGTGGTGGTGGGTGAGGTGGTGATGGGGGCGGCTGCCTTGCTCTGGCGCGCTCTGAGTGACGGCCCGGCGGCTGGACACACACTGTAAGAGAAAGAGAAGAATGTTAGTGGGCATGAGGCCAGCCTGCCAGCCTGGCTGAGACTGCCCTGGTGTTCAAAGTGTTCAAAGGAGACTCTCCGGCACAGGGTGAAGAAAACTTTATTTCTTACAAAGCGAGGAGAACCGCTGTACTGTTTTCCAAAGTGGCAGCACCGTTTGACATTCCTATAAGCCACGTAAGGGGGTCCTAGTTTGTCCGCATCCTCACCAACAATGGTTATTATCTGTTTTGACAGATATTTTGGAGACAAAATTGTTTTGGACGTTTTGCTAAATTTAGATGCTGAATAATTGTAAGTCTTCTCTATATCATTTCATTTTGGTATAGGACCTAAATGTGTCCAATTAAAAACAAGCTTCTTCAAAGATGCCTCCTGCAAGAACAGATTTTCCAAATCTAATGGAACTTTTTGTTTTTTAAATCCAAAAGAAAAATGAGGCGCATGGTGAATACCTTGGGTGGCTGAGATTCTGGAAACTCAGTCCAAGAAAATACAGTGTTTATGCCTTTCTGATTATTTAATAAGATACTCAAACAAAGAAGCAATTTCCCCCTCAAATAACATGCATTACGATGGTCATTGGTAGTAAAGAACAAACAAATTTTTTTTGCCTTTTTGATACTGTTGATATTTATGTGCTGGCGCTGGATGTCAATGGATTATTCCCCCCTACTTTATCATGCCTTTATTTTTAAAACAACATTTCAGTAAACGCCCATTTGTCCTCCAGTGCTATCAGGGCTGTACTGTTTTGGGTGCCCCTCTCTTGGGTCCTAAAGCAACTGGTGGGACACAGGGCTGGTTATGTGCAGTTGGGTCATGGTTCCCAGGGAGGGAGCCTCGCCTGTGACTCCTGGGACTTTGCCCCATCAGGCTCACTTCTGCCCTTCTGGGCTCACTGGGGCCAGGCAGCCTCCACCCTGAGACTCTCCTGACCTTTGTTCCTCATGGCAGTGTGTCCACAATGCCCACAAACACCAGAAGTTGTGATGGCACCTTCTGATAAGGTCTCAGTCAACATTTATTGACTAGCTGCTATGGCCAGACTCTACAGGAGCTAGGAGTACAGCCTTGAGTAAAACCAATACCATGTGTTTTGGTGTGGGTGGCACAGACATTAGTATGCATATAATTGTGGTTTTCACAGGGGTCCTCCCTGTGACCCGAGGACTGTGATTCATGGTTTTCTGGTGAAGAGACAGGCTTCCTGTAGTAATGTGCCTGAGGTTACAAAACTCTCTCGTAAGCTCCTAAGTGAAAGTTTGGGATTCATTTTCACACCTCCTGACTCTGAGCACAGCAGCGTTTCCTCCTCCTTCAGTTATCTCCGCCTCTAGCTGCCCCCCCCCACCCCCTTCCTTGAGTTCTTGTGTTCTTTAATTAGCCTGCAGGATCTAGGCTGTTCTGTGGAGGTGGCAGCTCTGTGGGTGCTCCAGGCATGAGGCCATCACATGACAGCCTTCTCTGCTCTGCCCTCAGGTAGAGAGTGTCCCTTCTGCCCTAGTTCTCCAAGCCCTTCGGGCACTTGCGTCTGCACCTGGCTTCGGGGTACAGAGGACCAGGGCATGGGTCTGTCTTCCATGCTCACCGCTGCCAGGCTTTCTACCTCCCTGGGCTCAGCATGTAGCCGGCGGCTGAGGCTTGGCTTGTCTCTTTCCTGTCTCTCTTAGGGCACACAGTGGACACACACACACACACACACACACACACACACACACACACGTGCTGGGATGGTCACTGGTGGTGGAGGTGAGCTGCAGGCAAGGAGTGGGGGTAGACTAGCCCTGCTCTTGAGCTGCTCACCCAGCTGCCAGTTTCTGCATCTTCCCTCCCCGCCCTTCCCCACCGGGAACGCTGCAGACCTGGAGTTTGGGCCACAGGGGCCCTTCCAGCGGCTCCTGCCCTGTTCCTGGATGGCAGCTACTGGGCAGTCTGCTGCCACCCATCCTGCACACCCACCAGGCCCTTGAAGAACCGGTGGTGTCCCAGAGTCCTGTGAGCAGTGCGTCTAACTCACCCTTTCGAGTTAAATTCAGGGAGGGGACCTAGCACATAGGATCTACTAAGCGTTAGGCACTTTGGAAAGTAGGCATTTATTTTGTGTGTGTGCATAATTGTTTCATTTAATTTTTCACAGAAAAATATCAATTTCCTTTTTTAAGAAAAAAATAAAATTAAATCTGGCTTAGCTCCCACTTGCTGTCTGGAGCATGTACCATTTAGTCAGTGGGTGAGGGCCGGGGTGGGGGCTCTTCCCATGTGTTGGGCTTATACAAGCCCAGGGCTCACACAGCCCATCAGCCAGCTGCAAGGGCCCCTCCCTGGTCCTTCCATCAGTCTCAGGCCCTGCAGAAGGTCAGCTTCTTCTGCTAAACTCAAGCAGACCTGGTCTTGGCGTCTCATAGAAAGCCCCAAACACTGTCCCCTCTCCCAACTTTTGAGAAGCCCCTCTCTCTCTTTCACTTAGTCTTTACAACAACTACGAGAAAAACCTATTATGTCGTCGTATAAATGAAGACACTGACACATAGAGAGGCTGAGTTGCTCACCCGAGGCCACACAGCTCATAAGGGGTGCAGCTGGGAATGGAACCCAGATCAGCTAAAGGTGACATAGATCACAGACGCGGAAGGTCCCAGGCTGGGTCCAGCACACTGTGGTCTGATTCACGGTTTACTCATCCAGAAGTGTTAAGTCAGTTTCCCCATCAGCAAATATTTATCTCAAAGGGTTGTTAGGGGGTCAAATGAAACGCAGCTTTAAAACCACATTAAGTATTACATCAGGATGGCGTTTCCATTCAGATGTGCTTTGGGGTGAAGACTTGGCGCCTCCTGTCTCAGTCCGTGCCCACCTCTGTCTACCCTGGTCAGCTGGCCTTCACACCTGGGCAGAACCCTGGGCAGAGCACAGGCCAACATGAGCCCAACATCACACTTGACTCCTGTCTCCGTGCTGACCCATGACGACAAACATCCTGAAGTTCCCATCTCAGAAGCGGTCTCTTGGCTGATTATTTTCCACATGCCCTTCTCCAGATTCACCTTCTACCTTCTCCATCCCGTTCTGCGCAGTGAACAAGAGAGATGTGAAATCAAAGCAGGGAGGGGATGGGAAGAAATGCCTTAGTCCCCCTTTCTTTCCTGCCTCCAAACTCCTGCCAGGCCGTCTCACTGGCTAAACCCAATCAGACTCCCACCAGAAGGGAACCCAGAGATGCACTCAGCAAGGGGCTGCTCCCTTTGGAAATGGTGCACAGGTGAAGAGGGAATGCCCACCTGTATGCAAATGTCCCCATTTCCTCCTCTGTGATGTTCCCTGATCTGACCAGGCTGGGCTTCCTGGGCTGAGATTTGATGAGGCTGAAGGAGGGGGTAGGGGGTAGGCCTAAGCCTACAATTTACTAAGCCATTCGACAAAAATGCACACAGCACCTACCACTTGCAAGGGTATGAATAGTGCGCAGAGTAAGGTCCTTCTTCCTGCCCCAGTAGCTCACTATGATTATGAATAATATTATACTAGAATGCACAAATGCAGGATGCAGTGGGCGCCCTGCCAGCACCGATGGCGGAGGTAGCCATTCTGGTCAGTGTGAAGTGACATCTACACCTGGTGAAGCGTGAAGGGTGAATGAAGGCTCTAACAAAATAGGCAAAAGGTGTGCTCACAGGGTGACGGGCAGGTGTGACGGAGCCGGGTATGAAAGAATACGGGATGGTTAAGAAACGACAAGCTCCAGGCTGGCCAAGTGGCGCGATGGTTAAGAACTGGTTTGGGATGCCGGAGGCCCCGGTTCGGATCCCACATATGAGGGCCAGTGACACTGCCCTCTACAGCTAAGATGCTGAACAACAGCTCAACCTGGAGCTGGGATGCCCTGCTGCAGTGGGTTGCCATGGGCTACCGTGTGTAGCCAGCAGCCAGCGTGAGCAGCCAGCAGCCGCCATGAGTGGCCGTCCAGAAGCCGGCAACTGATCTGCCTTGCCTGGGAAGAGCGCAATGATGGTGCCAACTTGGGCCAATGAAGCAACGTCCTCCACAACTAGACCGAAGAACAAAAGGACTGCACTTGTCTGTTCCCCTTCCCCCAATTCCCCAGTGCTGTTCCCATCTCCCAATTCCCCAATAAAAATCTTAAAAAAAAAAGAAATGACAAGTTCCACGTGGCTGGTAGATGGAGGAGCTGGTGGGGATGACGAGCAGCCAGCCCGTATTGTCCAAGTCTTAGAAGCTGAGCTGAGGTACCAAGGTAGCACCCAGTCTGCAGTGGGAGTCCATGGGGGACCCAAGAGACACAGCGCCAAGCTTTAGGGAGCTCCCGTGTGCAGCACCGACAAAGCCTGTTCTAAGGGGGCGCCAGGATGGGGCCAGCCTCCGAGAATCCGCGCAGCAGTCCAGCTGTCGGACCCTAGCAGTGATCACTGCATCTAGACTCTCCTGTTGCTACCTTTTGGCCTCGTCCTCCACTAGCCTTTTCATTTTTTAATTGCCACAGGGTAACAAAGCAGCTGCGGGTCTAATCCAAAGGGATGGAAGCGAATGACTGTGCTGACAGAGCGAGACATATAAACTCATGGAGAACCATGAGCTTGCTGAGCCCCAAGAAGGCACCAAGAATAAACAGCCTTAATTCTTCTTTCCTTCCTGCTCCATCTTCTGATGCAAGATATGTTTTATTTAAACGATCTTGGGGTGAGCAAGGTCACAGGACTGCTGGCAGGGAGAAGGAATTCTTTTAATTGGCAAAACACTAATCATTTTGGAAAATGAATTCTAATCTTTCCATCCAATACAGTGGATGTGTGAGTAATTACTTCCCGTCACTAAACTGTTAGTGCAACATTAGTGATTACGCTAATTAAAACTGATGAACTCTTACAGACTGATAAACCCCAGCCAGTCCACAGACGCCTTCTTCCCATTGGCTGTAGTTAACTTCCATTTGGAGAAGAGGTCTTGAATTAACCTTTAGAATAT